GCGCCGACATCAAAACCTCAAACTCTCAACTGCATGAGTTGGGGACAATAGCATACTTACATTTTTTTGTGTGGCCTACTATCGTGACTAGATTATCAGCAAGAACAGCTGCTCTTAGTAACAGAATAGCCGCGTCTCTAGTCAGGTCACATGGTAGATGAAGCAAACCATGCCTGGATACACCCAACTGCACAAGCTGGGGACAATAGCATACTTATGTCTCCTGTATGGGTGCTATCGTAACTAGGTCAACAACGACAACGATTGCTCTCAGTAACAAAATAGTTGCTTTGCTGCTCATGTCACACGGTAGACGAAGCAACTGTAGCTTAATGACGTCGTCAAACATGTCTGTGTAAACATTCAATCGTATCAGGGGGACGCTGGACCCGATTTCCAGCAGGTGCAGCTCCCCACCAATAGATGGAGCCCTGGACGGATGCTAGTGGTGTCTGCTCGTATCAGCACCACTAGCAGACCGGCAGGTGTTCTCTCAAAAAAAAATAATAATAATAATAAAATATATATAGATAGATAGATAGATATATACAGGGTTACCTGACCGAACGTTCGGGGCCCCCCGGCCTGGCCCCCAAACGTTCGGGCGTTCGGGGTCCCGTTCGGAGGCCAAACACCTCCAGGTTCGGCCCCCACCAAAAAATGTTTCGGGGCCTAAAAATAAGTTTTTGTTTCTGAATTTTTTTTTTGTATGCTCTCTATGATGTAACCTACACGCCTATAAATTTTGAAGTCATTCTGCTAAGCCAAAAAAACATTAAAAATCGTCAAAGATGGGGGTGTCAAAACGTGCTCGCGCACTCACTATTTTGTTTTTTTTTACTTTTTACTTTTTGTTTTCACTTTATTTCGGGTAGTAGTAGCAGACCAAAGTCAACTACCTACCAAAGTGACACAGAGCATCAGCCAATAACTCACAATGAAAAGCACAGAAAAGAGGAAGAAAAGAAGAAGGAAAGAGAGAAAAAAGATAGCAGGGAAGAGTAGACGCAGTTACAAAATAACCCGGACGTGACGATTGATTCGAAAAATATGACAATGAAACCAGTGGCGTGGACCCGACTAGTTTCGGCTGGTCCGCCACCCAGCCTTCCTCAGGGATCTTAGAATCGTCGTCGGTGACGATTAGATCGTAACCTGCGTATTAATAGGAATGGGACGACAGAGGCTACGAAAACCAAGCGAGTCAGTCAACCCAACTCAGGTCCGCATGAACATCTCTCCAACCGACAGAGTTTAGAACCTACCCTACGAAACGTCCAGTTTAAAAACAAAAAAACAAGAATAGAGACCAAAAAATGGGAAAAAGAGGTCGCATGAACCGGTAACTCCAAGAAGAGCCTAGAAACAGACAGAATCGCCCTACGCTGAAAATGACCTTTCCATCCAGGCAACCGGTCGACCTCAGGTTCAAATCCCGCTCTACTACTATGCAATGAAAAAGGTACCCAGAGCAGTATTAATTCAACTCAGACCATGCTGGTGCAACGACCGTGCCCAAAATCAGTTCACCACAGGCAATCGGTCGATCTCAGGTTCAAACCCTCCCAACATCGGCAACTGTTCACCTCAGATCGCACTAGTACAAGAAACAGTGTCCGAAATTAGTTCATTAACGGTCCCCTACCATTCATCAACAACCGTACAACCAAACAGACAAAACGGTACCCAGAAAACCAATTCACCGAAGGTCCCCTTTCATATACCGAGACCGAAAAAAGGTCAACAAAAATCCAAAATCAAATAAAAGGATCAAAGTAAACAAAAATAAACAAAATAAACAAATTAACCGCTCTAAAATGAGCAAAGCAAGGAAGTGCCAACGACTCATCCTCTTCTTGGAAGTAAACGATTCCATCCAGTCAACAAGGGCAACCAATGATCCCAGCAGCCAGCAAATTTTCTGGAAAATCTTTCAAGTGCCAAGTCGAAGAAGTGATCTGGATAACCCCGGAGCCAAAGCTCATGCTTCAGGGTAAGAAGAAAGACAACCTCAAGGCGCGGCACATTGTTGAAAACCCGTAACCGATGAAGAAAGGACAAAATGACTGCTAACTTCTGCTGCCTTCCAGAAAAGGATACAAAATCCTGCAGACTAGGAAAAATCAACCCCTTATCACAGATCACCTTTTGGTTCCTGTGGGTGGCTATACAACACACCCTGCATGGGTCGTTGAAAACCTTAACAGCACACCCAATGAAATCCCAGCCGAGTCCGACATTAGTCTGTTCCAAAGTCAAATTAGGATCATAACAACCGCGAAACTGCTCCACAATCAACTGCGCCTTAGCCAAAGACGAACTGGAAGACTTATTATAGCGAACAAAAATGGAAACATCATCAACAAGGCGAAACCCGGCGATCAACTTACGATCGGTCCCAAGAGAAGACAGGAAACCATACTCATTATATGCGCACAGCAGACATGCCAAAGCCGGACTAGTCGACTTGCCCATAGGAATCCCCGAAACCTGCTTCAACAGAACCCCTGAGCAGCGGACAAAAGTATTACTAAGGTCAAAAGAAACAAAACGAAATAGAACATGCAGCTTGATCAATACCCAACCCTCCTCCGTACGCCCTCTGGTCAACCGGGCTACCTTACCATGCTTCCTGACGGCCACACCTTTGTACCCTTCCGAAATCCAATAGTCAATCACCCACCGAAGAGCAATCTTGATAGACTATTGAGGTAAATTGGAGAACATCTCCTTTACGTCGAACGAAGCCCCCACGAGACTGTCCTGCTTTCGGATCGTGCCATTGAGAGACTCCAGACCCTTCATAAACTTCGAAGTACTTTGAAGATTAAAGTGGAACGAACCGGGAAGTTTCCACAACAACTCGTTGATGGCATATGCGACTCTTCTTCGTCCTAATGCAGCACACTCGGGATATGACGGACAAATAGGACGCCACTTCGCCACATCTTTATGCTTTGGTAAACAGAACGCATTGCCAAAACTGCCGTCCTTGTCCCACTTACCAATCTTATCGAATCCTTCACTCAAATAGGTAACACGACATTCCTGAAGCACCTCACCTTCTGTACGTGATTCATGAATAAAAGAAGAATTGTCAGTGAACAATTTCCTCAGTCCCATCCCATACAACACAGGGCAACACACCAAGGTGTCCCCTGGGTTATGGTCCACAGGGCAACATACCAGCCCTTCAAACCTGCAGCACTGCAACTTCAGATTACTAAGCGAGCACTCAGTATGAACCCTAGGGGAAACATCGGTTAAGCATCCCTCCAGCGAGGAAGTGGTAATGCGGGCCAAAGCCGAAGAAGAGTTAAGCTGTGGAAATGCCAAAAAGGAGGTACAGATCTGCTTCTTGAGATCAAGGGTAGGATTATCAGAGCGGGGACACAAGATGTTCTTAGAGTTACTCATCCAACTAGGAAAGGATGACTCAAGACTCATCCGAAATGACACGTGACCATCGGATCTACCCAGCGCTGCATCGACCTCCAAACAGGTACATTCAAGCAAAGGCAAACGAGAGAAGTGCCTAAAGTTATGAATAACATCCCCAATAGACCCTTTCCTCTTCCAAACCACCCGCATACGCCGAATCAGCAAAGACTTCCATGATTCGTCCACCTCGAGATTCCTAATCACAGATGCACAGAGACGCCGAATTTCAGCTTTACAGAAAACGTCATCATATATGATACGCACCGTCAGTCTCCTCCGGATCGGTAAACCAAAACGTGAAGAGATCTGCTTAGATAAAATCAGACGAAGCCTAAAACTAGACCTCTTCTCAGAAAAACTACGGACAGTAGAAAAAGCCGAAATAAGCGTCGACAGATCCCAGGAAGCAAGCACCCTTCTACTCCCTGGATTACTCAGAAAAGAGGTCAAAACAGGCTTGAGAGCCAACGATCGACAGCAAAAGGGGACGATAGAGGAAAAAGAAATAACAGCCCCATCTACCAACCAACCTTTCGACGACCGAAACAGGTCTTGTCCAAAACTACTGCACACCACAGAGGACCCATATATCCTACGAAGAATCTTCCATTGGTCCACCAACGACCCACCTCCTTTGCAAACAACAGTGACCTTATTTATGTGGGAGTCAACGCAATAATTGAGAATACGCAAAAGACTAAATGACGTGATCCCCACCGAAGCAGTAAACAACAAGGGATTGCTGGAGGAAGAAACGCAAGTTAAAGATGCAGGTGCCAAAGAAGCCTTGGAGCGCAATCTGCCCCTTTCCCTCTTCCCAAGCCTCTTACGACGACATTTGCGAGGACGCTCCCTTGAATTCAAAGCAGGAGAGAACGTACGAATGAAAAACTTTTCCACAGAGTAAAGATCATTGACAGAGCAGCGGCACAGGGGAATAGCGACATAGCTAGCAACACCACATCTACGAAGCCACCCATACCTCTCATTACGAAGACCCTCCCTAATCAGAGAACTATTAGACGCACGGTAGACATGCTCGCTCCACCTCGAATGGACGTCTCTGCTAGTACACCCAACGTAGCCGTGCTTGAACTAAGGAGAAACCAAAAGATACACGAGCGGCCCCTCATCGATCTCATCATGACGTGAGCACCAATAATCAGAGATGTGACCAATAAATTTACGAGCTCATGGAATAACTCCTCCAAGAATCAAACCAATAACAATCACGCACAGAAAGGAATTAAGACTCCGACACCGCAGAAACGAAGGAAAAGAAGAACGAAGCCGAAAGCAATGATTAAACAACCTCCAAAGACACGTCACATCCGGGAGAGACCCTAAGAAGCAGCAGGGTCTCCCCCGTCGTCCTTGTCTCCGCAATCACCCAAATCCTCTGAGACATCAACGACACCATCCTTCTGTGGAAAGGCCCTGCTTACCCGATGGGCTATTATATCCTCAATGGTCTGCTTAATGCCGACGTACTTCACTCCTTTCTCGCAAATAGCGGTCAATGCATCTTTGATCAACCCCCTCAATTCCTTTCGTGCGTCCATGGCATGGCTTACTTCATGTCCCACCTTCTCCTTCCCCTTGGTACCGGCCACTTCGTCCATCCTGACCCGAAGGTTCGAACGAGGGGTGTGGGAAGCCTTACCCCAAGCCGCTCACTCCTTCTCCAATAAAACAATTTTCGCTCTTGCCTTCTCCAATTCCTGCTCAGCCTCCCGACGGGTGTTAAACTCCCGCGTGCGTATTCCTTGAATGGTTTCAACCTCCATACGGTGCATATCCGCTACCCTCCTCAAGTCAACAGAGGCAACAGGAGACTTCCGAGGGGAAGACCTCGGAGGCCTGGTAACCACCTTGGCTGCCGGAGTATTAAGCGCGATACAACCCCGTTTGCCCGGCCGATTAGCTTCCTCTTGCCACTTCTCGGCATCGGCCCGAGCCTCATCGCGTGCTTTGATAACCTCCTTCATATCTTTCTCCACACCTTCCAGCCGACGTTTGGTGGCCATTGCTTCTTCCAATTGCGAACGCATCCTCTCCTGCTCAGCGAGCAACTGGGCAAGAAGTCCATCGCCCTCAGAACACCTTGCAGCCGAGGAACTGGTAGCGCCTTCGACCAACTTCTTTCCCAAACGCTCGATGTCCTTCCGAAGGGCTTCCACTTCACAAGAGCTACCCTTACCCCGAAGCAGTTCGACCACACCATCCAGTCTAGCGTTCATAGAATCAGTGAGGAGTTTTCGAAATTCTTCCCGGTCCTTCTTCTCCGACGCACGTCTCTCCTCCTCCTTCTCCTTCCTCCTCTTCTCTTCTTCGTCTTTAACAGATCTCTCCCTTTCCACCTCCGAGTCATGTCGAATCTTGATCTCTGCTACAATATGCTCCAAAAGATCCAACCTCTGCTTGGCCTGGTTCCATCCAAAACCCCGCCCAAATTGTGACGTAGAACCATTAGAGAATGTCGATGAGCCACCAGAAACAGAACTAGTCGCAAGAGTAAGCAAAGGAGAATCGGACTGAACAATCACAGAAGACGGATTGGCGGGTCTAGGGTGCGGGAAACAACGAACGAAGTGCCCCGGATCTCCACAGTTGTAGCATGTACGGACTATAGATGAAGAGGGCAGAACGAGATTGGAATTAGAATTGGTGTTAGGAAACGAAGCCATTGGGGACGATGTTAATCGATAACGTTGCACAGTCGAAGCCACTCGGACACGTAGTACTATTCCTACGGCGGTTACTTCGAGAGTTCAAGTAGTAGTAGCAGACCAAAGTCAATTACCTACCAAAGTGACACAGAGCATCAGCCAATAACTCACAATGAAAAGCACAGAAAAGAGGAAGAAAAGAAGAAGAAGGAAAGAGAGAAAAAAGATAGCACGGAAGAGTAGACGCAGTTACAAAATAACCCGGACATGACGATTGATTCAAAAAATATGACAATGAAACCAGCTACGTGGACCCGACTAGTTTCGGCTGGTCCGCCACCCAGCCTTCCTCAGGGGTCTTAGAATCGTCGTCGGTGACGATTAGATCGTAACCTGCGTATTAATAGGAATGGGACGACAGAGGCTACGAAAACCAAGCGAGCCAGTCAACCCAACTCAGGTCCGCATGAACATCTCTCCAACCGACAGAGTTCATAACCTACCCTACGAAACGTCCAGTTTATTTCGGGGCCTAATTTTTTTATTTTATTTTTTTTTAAATTAATGAGTTATTGATTATGTAAACTACATATCTGTAAATTTTCAGGGCATTTGTCAATGCCAAAAAATAATTAAAAATCGACAAAGATGGCGATGTCGAAAAGGTGCAGGCACACTCATTCATTTTAATTCTCTTTCTTATTTTTTCTTATTTTTATCATAGTGTGTATTTTTTGTATTTGATTTTTAATTCAAATTTGGTAAAG